TTTTTAAACAGGTCCACCTGTGCAGTTTTTCACAAAACAAACAGATTTCTCCTCATTCAAATATTCTCCATCCAAAGCAAATGGCACCTTCCACCGCAGCAAATCCACTATGTCTACTGGCACCATGAAGGAGGTAATTTCAGCAGCGCACAAACCTTTCCCAGCAACAGACGAGGCCCTTCACTGCTTATGCTCAACATGTTTATTTTGCTCATTATGTTCACACAGAAACAAATTAATTTGGCTGCTTCCCTGTTAGCAAGGTGGCTGCCACAACAGATGGATCTGCATATTTGATTGAGAGCTGATTTTAGTTTATTTTTTTAAACCAGATGCTCTTCCTGCAAAAACGTGTGTCTCTCGTACTAGAGATCTTTGCTCATGCTTATCAGAGCCAACAATATGACTAAATCTGCATCGTGTTAAAGATGCTGCTGAATTCTTGCTAAACTAAATGCCTTTTGGTTTCCAGCTTCTTTAAACAGATATATGCGAGATTGTTTTTGGTTATCTTGTAATTCTCGACAAGAAAAGCAAAAAACAAAAGAGATGCTTCCCCAAATGTCTGGCCATTTCCAATGTGTGCGTTTACAAGTCAGGGTGTATTTGTGTGTGTGTGGCATTTCTGTGCCCCACCCTTCAAAATGAGGGGTTTATGTTTTGAAACTCAACTGTGAGAAATTTCGGGTTGATGGAGCAATTGGATGCAATCTTAAATTCAAGGAGGATGCCTATTAGTCCATATGTTAGTGTTGACACCAAACGGGAGGGCACGCTCAGTCACTGGTGATTTACGACATAGTTTTAGGAGATGATGATACTGGCTGACGACTCTGTAGCTACACGGGTCTCCTGGTGTTCATGCCTGAGGTCATCTCAATCGATACAATGTTCTCTTGGACCGAAAACCCTGAAAAAAATATGCAGGTTTTCTGCACAGGCATCGTTTTTCTTCTCACAAACCGGAGTGTGTTTTTGCGCAGCACAGCGCTGGTGTGAATTTGTTGTTGTTTTTGAATGTCGTTGCCAGGAGCAGTCGGGGTGAAACTGCTCGTTTACAACACCGAACTATTTGAAATTCCATAGCTGAGTGTAATGCTCATCGTTCTTGGTTTGTCGCTGTTTGTGTTGTGTGTGTGTGTGTGTGTGTGTGTGTGTGTGTATTTGTTTGCTGCGTGTTGTCCTGATTTGATCTGACAGTGAGTTGAGGAATGCGGGGAGAGTGTGGTGATGTGCTCTTGCTGATGAAGACTCATAATCATCACATCATGAAACACTTATGTCACAAGGTCGTTTCCAAATAATCCACAGAACAAAAGTAACACAAAGTTACTTAGTGAAGAAATTGTATCCAGCAGCTTGAATACAAACGTGTTGTCTAGTGCAGCGTTTACAAGCACTGCCTGAATGAGATGGTTCACGAATACAATTATTTATGTCTTTATAAAAAGAAACCCCAGAAGAAAGTATAA